ACATGCTAAGCCCGAAGCCTTAGCAATCAATCAAACGTCAAGTCTTGGAGCGATGTAGGCCAATCCAACGGCAGTAGCTCGAGGCGCATGCGTTCGCTCTCGCTCGCCGTCTGAACCTTATTGTGAGTAGGGAGCAAAGGTTGCGCTGGAAACGGTTGGGGGAAGCTCGCGACGAATCACGTGGTCTTTACGCTCAATGAATCATGCAAACTTCTCAAACATAATGCAGCTAAAATATTTTAACGACAAAAATCATAATAATAATTTTAGTTTACAATTTTTAATTATGTAAAAAAATGATGATAATCACGGCATCATATATAATTTTTTTGATACTTTGTACAATTTTCAATATTGTGTTTTGATAATTTCGTATTTAAAAAATTAAAATTCTTATGAAAAATGCATCACGAGCGATTATATGTATAGCGCCGAAAGCCATGCCGATATGAAATTCACTAGCTCCGTAATAAATATCGAATAAATCATGAATAAATAAACGGACGCTGAGTGTCCGAGTCTTTGGTGTATCAGTATATATTATAGACTTGATTAGTATAAATAAGAAGGACGTGGCTCATTGTCTCGCCGGGAACCGATTGACTAACGCACACACACTCACACACACTCTTTCGTTCCATTCTGAAATAATAATATATACCACATGCATATAGTAGACCTCGGTCGTTTGTGTACGTGCGGGTATGCGTATATACACGTATATATGCAGCTCGAATAATCCCCTTGACATGGGACTCGAGACAGGCGCGCATCAGAAGAAGTCGCAGTAGAGCGCGACGCTACTGTTGCTGCTGCTGCTGCTGCTTTGCACGGAGAATAAAGAAGGGTATGGCGAACTTGCGCGACGCTTCCAGAGGAGAGCCGGCGCACACGCGGAGACGAGACAAGTCCAATTACACGGCTGGCGGCTTCTCTGCTTTGTTTCACGGCCGCTGGCCACTTCGTGCATGCTTCGTCTCTCTTTCTGACTCTCCTGCGCTCTCTCTCTCTGGCTTTCTCTCCTTCTCTAGTTCTATGCATGTACGTGCCCCCACATAGAAACTGTAGACTTACATTGCCATGTGTGTATGGTTTCTCTTATGGAGGTCCTTCATAGACTTACATAGCACCAAAGAGGCTAGTGTGGTAGGATATAAAGGTACTGCTATACGTTTCCCGTAACGTTACGACGCGCTAATTTCTTGTCCGCGTGCACTGGTTGGCCGTACACGCATGCGAGCGATTAACGTGCCTCTGTGCGCAGCTCGAGCTACTACACATCGTCGAATAACTTGGCCGTTCGATGTTGCAGGCGGCGCGCGTGATTCTGCCTGCGCGTAAAAAAAATTATGAGACAAAAAACTAGGTGTGTGCTCTAATTTAAAGCTAATTTTACGCGTGGCTGCATCGCGTGCCTAGCCAACTTTTCTTTGTGTACGCCCGCGCGAGCTCTCTGCGCGCTTTTGTGCCTCGAGTTTTATTTGTTTAGAGAAATTATTCCCTACGATGACCGACGTGTATCGGCCGCGCGCATACTTATTTAATTCATCCTTGCGCTCGCCGCGGTGTTTGCGCAAATAGTTGCGACTCGCGTAAACGCCGATGCGTGAATATTTATTGCTTCACGGCTTATAAATTTTGACTAATGGTTGTTTTTCTCCTTTTTTTGTTCACAGGTAAGACCACACACATGCTTAAATGCGCTCAATTTCAAACAAAGATGCTCTTCGTGTCTGTGAGTACATTTAGGTGGATATCATACTATTTACTGTGCAACTGTATTCATTCCCGAAATCTGCTTCGAGGATCCGCAATTTATTTTTCAATAAATAAACAATGCGTACATCTTCATCGTAAATGCAAACTTTATATTTACGATGTTTTATTTCTTTTAAAATCATGCTTTGACTTATACAATTTTTTTATTTTTCCACTTGCGGATTTACTGATAAAGGTATTAGCCATCTAGTGGCGAAGGTTCAAAGTGATGGTATCGTATTTGAAGTGGTTGAAAACTGTTTGTAAGAGTTAAGTTAAGATATAATTTCACATCATTTAAAGCGCGCTTAATATTTGTAACATGATTGTTAAAAAAAATCGCCATAAACAAATCAATTAATGATTATGTATTCTAAAATAACATTTTTTGGTTATTTTTAATGTTGAGCCTTTTTATCAGGCACCATACTTTTTGTAAATTATTTACTTTCACACTCGTGCAATTACATTGAAAAGCAGATTTTCGATTGTACAAGGAACGGTACCTCGAGCGGGTTAAATACGCGTTGAAAAGTCTTGCAGCTATATAAGCCATAGGCCAACAGCGGCATTAGCGCGCAGTGTATGCTCGAGAGCCGTTAAAAGATTGACGGGCGAATCTATCGGGTGCGCGGTACAGTCGGCGGCTCGGCTCGTCGTGTGCGTAAACGTACACTATATACGCTACTACTACACGATATACGAGCTGAGATCTGGCGTGCGGATTTTTCGCACGTACTCCATACTATAGAGCCGATTTCGTTTCAAGCTCTCTCTCTCTCTCGTGCGCGCATGTGTCGAGAGAATTTTTCGTCAAACTGTATATACGTATATACTTGCAGACACACACACACACACACAATCGCGCGCAAATACGTATTTCAACGCCGACTACCGATTGATCGACTACCTTCGTTTCTCCGGATGCCTGCCTGCCTGCCTGTCTACATCGCTACCTTATATTGCTTTTTCATTTGACGTGCGCCAATGGCGCTCTCTGCCCAAAGGGATTGCTCTTACTCTGTATGAATATATATTGCTCTTTATTGCTCTTTCTGCCGCCATTTATTTAATTTTAAATTATACCAATGAAAGGTATTGATCGATTTTTTCACAATAAAACGAATACACGCGGAATATATATCTTTATCAATTATTGTATTGAAAAATTAAGATTAAAAAACTTTTAAAATTACACGTGCAGTTTTAATCGATACACATACTGATGATACGCATGATTTCGCATAACAACTTTGTCACGCGCAACGCTAGATCGACTCCGTTTTGTGTATCAAAAGTGTATATATTTAATTTAACGCAGCTGTTGAGACGATTAGCATATCAATTATGACGAACGAATAAAATATAATTATGTCGGAATACGAATATAATAATGTGAAATTCATGAAGTCGGCGTTGGCTCACGTGAGGAGCGTAGAGCGAGAGACAAAGCCACCGCAGGCGTGAATATGAATAGAAGCGATTTCTCATAAAAAAGTCCCAAAACAAAAACGGACATTCGGGAAAAGCCACAAGGCTACGGGTGTCACTTCGATGAAAATGAGGCTGCGCCAAGAAGTCAACAAAAATTGTCCCGCACAAACAATGACTTGCGGAGGTCGAGAGAAAGACACGAACGCGCCGAAACGCGGAAAAAAAATACACAATAGTCAACCTGCGGCGACGGAACAGGGCGCATCTGTTTGCCGCGCGCTCCGTGCAGCAGAGCCAGTCTTCGGAAAGAAAGCAGCGAGGGACGCGCGCCGCAGGAGCAGCGAATGTACGTGCCTTACAGCCCGAAAGCATGACAACTTATCAGCCAACAGACTCCGTCGTCTTCTCTCCCGAAACTCTTCAGCGCAAAGACAAAAGGCAAAAGCCGCGCGCATACGACGGCGTGCGCGCGCTCGGTATGAATATATGGGAAAGAAAAGGGGCGAGTGAGTATAGCGCGGCAGAGTGAAAACGGGGCGCGAGCTATGTTTATACGTATATAGAGAGAGAGAAAGAGAGAGAAGAGAGAATGATATATATGTATAGAAGTAGTGTATAGATATAGCTGCTCGAGCGATGCCGAGAGGAGAGCAAGTATGGCGGGGGCTGGCTCGGCCGCGCTTAACGCATGTGCACGAGAGAGATTCTCTTTGGGAGGCTGATGCTGCTACTGTGCTGCTGCTACTGCGAGCGAGATTTCGCGGATCACCCACCAGTAGTCGTCGTTTGTCGCCCATCTAACTCACTCGCGAGTCCACACGCAACGCACGAGTCCTCCTCCTCCTCCTCCTCTCTCTAAGCTACATTCTAAGCTATCTGTCCCGCGCGTTCAAGTGCACCTATCTCGAATGCAGTGTCTCGCTATATACCCACGAGCATCGATCAAGTCCGAAGTTGTATAATCGAGTGCGAAAAATAGACCCGAGCTTTACGTACAGTCAAGCTCTCGACTCGAGTAAGCCAGAGAGAGAGAGAGAGAGAAGCGACGATGGATATAACCAGCCGCTGATGCGATCGTCGCGTGCCGATGACTTATGTGATCATCGACTGCTAGAGATTCGTTGCATCGTATCGCACGCACGCATATAGCTCAAAGTGACTTTGCCGGGCTTCGTCGCGCGCTCGCGTGTGTGCCGAGAGTGCTGCTGCAGTTGCAGTGTCAGTGCGCCGTTCAAAGACCTATGTAATCGTCCGAGAGAAGTGATTGGCAATGGTGACGGTGTACGCGCATGAAAAATCCCAGTCAACGAGCGAGTGAATTCTCGCCAGAGTGCGTGACTGAATTAACGGAGAATATTATTCAATTTCTCGAGATTGCCCAACTCGTTCGTCGTCGTCGTCGTCGTCGTCGTCGTCGTCGTGTGTGTATATGTGCGCGCGCGCTTGAAAGCTCGATTGCGATCGACGTGTACGTGTGTACGTGTTTGTGCATGTGTGCGTGAGCCGCCGACAGTGTAACGTCGAAGGTCAGGCCAATCAGCGAGATGTACGAACGCTGATCGCTGCCCGCTAGAAACAATAGTCTTCGTTCTGGAACATTGGAAAAGTTTTACAGTGTGTGACGTTCGTGTCAATGATAAATAATCGGAAAGTGAAAAAAGAGCTTGCATTACAAAATGCCACGTAACGTGGATTGGCCAAGCTCACGGAGCGGCGGATCGTAATCGATCGGAGCATCGAAGTAGCGTCGTGAGATTCCATCGAGGCTGCGACATCACCCCGAGCACAATTGTTGGTGATGTTGAATGGAGTCAGCGGTGCTGACGGCAAGGTGACAAAAGTAGCGGTAGTAGTAGCAGCGGTCGTTGTTGAGCAACAGCCGGGCAGCGACTCGGGCGACGACGACTCAGATGCCGCATGGGCCTCGGAGCGCACTCGCAAGCTCCCGCGCTCGCTGCTGCAAGCCTCGGTGACAAGAGCTGATCAGCTCGTCTCGTCGAGCACGCGACGCTGGAGGTGCTGCAGGGGGCGACGGACGACGACGACGACGCCGACGACCTCGCCACCAGACGATCGCGTCCCCCGAGCGTCATCCTCCCCAAGGGCAGCGGAGCAGCAGGACACGGCGACACAAAGCTCGGCAGCGGCGGCGGCCTACGCTCGGTCAGGACGACGGGGCCCGGCACGGGCCCGCTGCAGACAGGGCCCCAGCCCCTGGCGTTGCTGTTACTGCTATTGCTACGCGCGCAGTCGTTATACGACTCCGAGTCGAGGAGCTGTCCTGGTAGCGGTCTCACCACCGGCTCGCCGCCGACGATCGCGACTCGACGCTTCTTAACCGTTATCATCGCCATCTCCGGGGCCAAGATTATTGCCGCTATCAGCGAGCTGGGAAATCGAGCAGCAGCAGCAGCAGCAGCACTAGCCACGATAGGCCGGGGCCCGAGACACCGTCAGCGCCGAACTATCGTCAGGCAGATTAGCAGGCGACGAAAAAAGAAGAGGCGAAGGATACGTAGGTGAGCTCGTGTCTTCAACAATAATTGATTCGCTGCATGTTTTGGCTCTTCGTACAATAATTACGGCAGAGCTTTTGCGTTTGTACACGAACGAAGCGTGTACGAGAACTCCTGCGTCGAAATTCTCCGATCGTTGTGACATTTTTTATCGTTGAAATTGCTTCACGTCATTTTCTTATCGCCAAAAATTTCGCCTACCTGACGTTTTTATATTACACATATTTTCTCTCACAGACAGTCGCTAAAAATGTATCACAAACCCACGCAATATAAATTCGCTGTGATAAAAAACAGGTTTTCCTGTTTCGTCGCGACGATAATAACTTCTTGATAAATATTAATTACAAGGAGCGCGAGGCAAGCGATAGCGAATTAATCAAATGCATCTCGTTAATTATGGACTTTGCATAATTATAATAATTAAGCTTTTTGATACATTATGTGCAATGGCCCTCCCGTATGTGGAATATGCGCGATGCATGTGTCATTGAATTATGCCCGACGGCACTTGAATTTCGCCGACTCCCAAGAGGCTTTGATCGCCGTGTCTCATTCCTCCCTCCCTCGCCCTCCCTCCCTCTCTCTCTCACTCGCTCTCTATATCGCTCAACCACAGATAACGCATGAACTTGTCGAAAGCATTGTCCTCATATACATATGCACGTGTGCTGTACGCACAATACGAATTCTGCAGCACATTTTACAAAAATTTAGCTCGCAACGACTCCTTAAACATTCGATCTATGCGACAACAATTACCGCGAGCGAAATTTCATCTCAATTAAAGCGGAGTAATTAAAATAATTTCACCGTGAGCGGCGGGATGTTATCCGGCCACGATCGGGTGTATCCCTGGCTCGAGGTAAAAAAAGAGAGGAAAGTTTAACATTTTTGGTGCTGAGTCGGCGCTTACATTTTTTCCACGGCCACCGAGCCTGCAGAAGCTACATAATGGTCGAGTATCTTTCTTCTCGGGATCTCTCGCGGGTATGTCTCACTTGCTCGCTGCCGCGCGTCCTTTGGCGCGCAATATTTGAAATAATCCCGCGAATACCTGGCGAGCTCGAGATGTTCGTAAACAAACGCTCGATCACTGTCTTTTAATTGTAATTGTTCATAACAGACGGCGGGGCATGGTCTTTGAAAATTACACGAGCTTTGTTGAAGCCGCTATGGGTACTTGATTATTGCACTGTATACTTTGTTATACGCGGGATAATTCAAAACACAAGAATTGTTTTCTTCTTTTTAGTATCGCTCGAATCAGCAGTTTATTTGTTATTTGTTAGAAATAAGCATTAAATATTTATCAAGATTGCGATACATGTTATCCAAACAAACGTTTTCATACGTGTATCGTCGACGAGAGCTGCTTGCCACTCGGTTGCGAGGTGCTGCGCGCATATCCCCCCAAAGCTCGTAAGCGAAAATGACACGCGAGCATCAGCGCTGTCGAGGGCGGAAAATCAAAAAGATTAATCACGAACGCGTATAGCGAGAGAGAGAGCGCGCGAGGCTGATGCGCAAACAGTAATGCATCATGCGAGGCCCCGTATGTACGTGTGTGCGAATGTTGCATGTGTGGACAACAACAGCGGGGCGCGCGAGGGTTCGGCGGGATAGAAGCTCAGCGCGATATTCGCGCTCGCGCTCCCATACACGCGGCAGCCGCGACTTTAACTCCAAAGTACGGAATTGATGCGCGCGAGCTCGTCGGTAACACTTGTTTATACGCGTTATGTGCATACGATAGGCCGTATACTGGCTCGTATCTGACGCCTCGTTGTTTTTGTTTGATCAATCAATTAATTCTTTAACAATTGTTTATAAATCCGCATGCGACGCACTATTGCATTCGTAATTTTTTTGTCGGCAATGTATTTTTTTCTCGCTGTCGTTGCTTCCAGGCAAAATTACCCGGCTCGCTCGCAACTCCCGTGCATAGAGCAAAGAAAAGTAACCGCCATTTCCTCAATAGCAACGCAACCGTGTGCTCGACGCAGGCGTGGGTGTTGGCTATTGCTCGCTAATCGACCATATCCTTCTCTGCGCGCGGCCGATCGTCAGCCGTGCTTACGACTGCCATTATCGCACGAGAGATGCGCGCAATAACCGTCCGTAGTGCGGACTAAGTAATTTTTCTCCTACTTTCGATCGATCCACGATGCGTAATATACACGCGAGGGGAGGAGTCTAATTGTCTCTTATACATATGTTGCCAAAGTCATGCGCGATCGGGTGACCCCTCGATATCTAACTTATGTGCCGCTACGCGCGTGTAATGCAATTCAGCGATTTCCTTTGCCAAGTATAAACGTATATACGTATAATACGTAGAGGTGCGCTTGCGCGTCGTATATGTATCGCCGTGCCAATTACTCTCGTCCGCAAACTGACGTCGAAAAAGAGCACACAGGAAGCGGGGGCGATTGGAAAATTTGACGGAGGGTTTGTGCATACGTACACACACACACAGCGCATCGTGCAAGGCAAAGAAGGGAACAGTGTTGCAGCTGCTGTAGGATGTGTTACGAACCTTATCTTCGATCGAGTATAGGCGCACACAAAAGTACGCTTGGTACAGAATTTGCACGATCAGCCTTCAAACTTTAATTCGGGAAATAACTTTGGAGAATTCCCTGAAGTTTAATAATATCTTTCAAAGTTTGCCCTCGAGCCATCGGTGTCGATTGACATTGTCTAAAATCTAGCCAGAAGACACGTTTTCCTCTCTTCTGCTTCAATTTTTCCCCGGTTCTCTCTTTTTTTTTCTCATCCAACTCGAGATTTTGATGAAAAAAAAAATTCGATGCAATAATGGAAAAAAGGCCACATCCAGCGATAATAGCAGAAACGGCGCGCAGTAGTGGTATAGCTGCGAGTCGGAGCGACCGATATTCCCCTTGAAAAAAATGATTTACGATGACAGCATCCGTGGCAAGGGAAGGCGCTCGAAGCAGTGCGCCGCGCGCGAGAAGCCGAGGAAAGAAAGAGAACGCATGAGAGTATTATTTTCAAATTTCTCGCCTGCGCATACGCCGAGTAGGTTCACTTCCTCGAGCTCGACTCGGCCCGGTCTCGGCTGCACACATACGTAAACGCGCTGCGCTATACGTTCTCTCTATTCAGCGGTAAACACACACACGCACACACACACACACATGCGCACGAACAAATATACATATTGCACGAATGTATGAATGCTTGAATATAAGTTTAATATGGGTATAAAAGGTGGCAACGTTCTTGTGTATAAGGTAAAATAATGAACGAGTTGGCTCGCACGCGGCCGTCGCTCTTATCTGCAGCGTGTCATCGTTTGTGCCACTGTAAGCACAGCAGCAGCAGAGGCTATATCCACGTGCGCGCGAGAGCGCCTGAAAGCGCGGAAACGTTTCACAGGACCCTACTCCGATGTAAATCTATACTCGCCTACATATACAAACGCACACAAACGCACATTTATGCTGTGCAAGAATTAAGTATCATCCACGCGGTTCTATTAAAATCGATAATATGTATGCATACAGAAATGAGACTTTAATGGAAACCACATTTAATTGAAGTTTCGATGTACAAATGCAGCGTACGTAGTCAGTTATATACAAGCTTAGTTTTACGAGGATTTTCATTGCAGTTTTGTATGCCTCATTATGTGCTTCTTTAGATCTCTTATTTTTATTGCGATCGTTTTATTTTTGAAATAAATTGGACGAATATACATAAAGCCCTCGGTATACTTTATGGAACCAACATTAATGCGGTGAAATAAAGTGATACAAATTTATCCATTGCTTTATTGTAAATTAATTTTGTATTAATCTATAGTCACCAGTTTAATGGAAAATCGAGTTGTACACTTTAACGAACGCGTCAGTGAGAAACTTGCATTGCGAAACGGAGCTTCGGAAAGCGAGAGAAAACGAATAGACGTATTCTAGCTGGATGCTACATGCATTCACCTGGTTACTAGTCCACGTCTTGGGTTGAAATGTCGTACGACAGCGCAGCACACGTACACACAGCGACACATGTATGCAATCGCACACAATCGCAGCTTATAGCTGCGTAGCGAAAGGAATAAGTCTCGCGCGCAAAAAGCTTGACAAACAGTTCACAACAAACACGTGTATATAATTCAGGCATACCTATACACTGGCTTGCACACGCAGCTCTCGTCGCGTATGCGTATATTTACACCAGAAGTTGCGGAGCTAAATTATATGTATACAGCAGCGTACGGTGAGCGGCAGCGCCGCGTAGTAAATAATTTTTCACACACGATTAATGCGACGATGAATGCGCGACGCGATGTCGTATGCGCGCTGCATACGTTTCAGCCAGCAGCTCCCGTGTGCGTATAAAGGCGCGCACTTGAAAATTGAATTTACTTTCTCATGTGCGTATAGCTTCAAAAATGCCATCGCGCGTCAGTCCACTCGTGCATTGTACGAGGAAGGCGTGTAAAAATTGATAGCGAAAAGATTTACCGGCAATACATCTTCGCTTCGTTGGGCTTTTAAATATCGTATGACTGGTCTCGTGTGACTCGCTCGATTCATCGTCGAGCAACGAAATCGATCCATAAATTATGATTTACGGTCTGTCGAATACTTCGATTCAGATGCAGTTAATAAGAAACTAATTTTCCATTACCTTCGTGTGAGCATCTAACGATATTGAAGAATGTATAGGCAACAACAACAAATTTCGAAGGGTGGTAAAAGTCGAGTAAATTCAATTGCCGTTATGTATGCATGCCCACGTCGGGCCTCTTCAAGACCGGTTCAAAAAAAAAAAATACACTCTTGAGCTCTAAGAGCACTTCGGAAACTCTCTCGTTCGCGCGTACTCGTTTATACAAAGAATAAAAAGTTACGAGCATGCGAAAATTAAATTGTCATTAGACGCTAATACCAGTAGTGGGTAAATACTTTATAATAAGCGCGTAAATCACACATTTCTCATACTCATAAATATTATTGCTTAATTGTGAAAAG